CGGGCGCGCACGTAGAGTGCGATTGAAACGTCGTGGCCCATGCGCAGGAATCGGTATTTTGTGGAAGAGCCGGTATTTTGTGGAAGAGCCACACTCAAGGGGCCAAAGAGCCGCATGTGGCTCGCGAGCCGCGGTTTGCCGACCGCTGGTCTAGGGGAAGCGGCCCCGTGGATGTTCACCTCTCGGGCAGGGCTGCTCTGGGCTCAGCCGGCAATGGAGCCTGCTGGTCGCGGCTGCTCCACACACCAGCGGGGGAGGGTTTACGCAGCCCCATTGTACAGATGAGGAAGCCGAGGCCGGGTCCGCTGCGTGTGTGAGCTGGACGGGGGGCAGTGCTGAGCCTTCCCCGCGTGCAGGGTCCTGGAGAGCCACTGGTTCGTGTGGATCACGCAGATGAACCACATCCCCAAGGAGATTGGCCACGAGAAGCACCGGGACTGGGCCAGCTCGCAGGTGGGCAGCGTGGGCCGGGAGGGGGGCCCTGAGGGGGCTGCCGGGTCCAGGGCATGCCGTGGGCTCGGGGCTTCGTGCCAGCCTCCCTCACCTGAGCCCCCACCCGCTCCGGCAGCTGGCAGCCACCTGCAACGTGGAGTCCTCACCCTTCATCGACTGGTTCAGCGGGCACCTCAACTTCCAGATCGAGCACCAGTGAGCGCGGCCCAGGGCCCCGCGGGGTGGGCGTGAGTCTTCCCACGGGCGGCCTGGGCTCCCTGGGGCCCGGGAGGGTGGTGAGCAGGGCCTGGGGTGGGGGGATGGGGGTCCCTCTGGCACCCCCCACCTCAGGTGCCAGCACATGCCCCCCCCCCCCTCCGCAGCCTCTTCCCCACGATGCCCAGGCACAACTACCACAGGATCGCGCCGCTGGTCAAGGCGCTGTGTGCCAAGCACGGCCTCACCTACGAGGTGAAGCCCTTCCTCACCGCCCTGGTGGACATCGTCAGGTAAGGGCTCCTGGTGGCTCCCGGGGCCCTGTCCGCCTGGTCCCCACAGCCCCTCGCTGAGCCCCCCAGGCCCTCTGGGCGCTGACCTGTGAGGCCTTTCCCATCAGCCTTTCCATCCTCAGCCTGCGGCCTCCCTTCCCAGCCTTCACTCCCAGGCCCCCTGCCCTGGGCCAGGCCCTGTCGGAGGCTCCAGATCCCTGGCTTCTAGGCCTGACATCCCAGCAGGGGACCCAGAAAGCAAGCGCCTAAAATAAGTGAATTACAGAAAACGCGAGGGAGGGAGTGGTGCTTTGGCAAAAAAACACCAAGACTACAAAACCCATGGGTGGAGGCAGGAGAGGGGCGCCAGGCAGGGGCGCCAGGGGCAGGTGGCTGGCATTGAGGCGACAAGTGAGCAGACAGGCAGGAGGGGAGAGGGCGGGCCACGGAGGCGTCTGGGGAGGAATATTCTGGGCGGGGAACAGCCGTGCAAAAGCCCGAGGCAGGAGCTGGTGTGTGGGAGCCGCTGAGCGGGGCCGGGGGAGGGACATGCAGGAAGTGGATTCTGGGAAGATGCTCTGGCTGCGAGAATGCGCGGAAGGGGCGAGAGGGGAAGCAGACAGAGCAGGGCGGGTGGGCTGGGCGGCGGGAGCCTGGGCGGTGGGGCTCGGGGGCCAGACCCCCCCAGCCAGGGCCCTCCCACCTGTGCCTGGATGCCCTTCCTTCATCCGGTGTTTGAACCCCTGCTTCTCCTTCATGGCCCTTCCCCAGCCTCCTCTGCGGGCCCCGTTAGGACGCCTGGCACGGCGTTTCCCGCGAGTCATTGGTATCTCTGGCTCCTCTGCCGACGTTGGGCTAGTGGTGGACAGGGGCCGGGCCGCACCAATCCCTGGGCTGCAGAGCCCAGCAGGAGGCAACAGACAGAGTGGGGGAGGAGGGACAGGCCCACCCTGGCTCCTGCCTGGACTTTACCCCTCCTCCCCCCCCCTCCCACGCCAGGTCTAGATTCCACTCTTCTCAGTCCACCCCTTCACCCCCACCCAGCGGCCTGCCCCAGGGGGAAGGGGGGGAAGGGGGACACCTCTGAGCATACGCATCATCTTGGGGGGTGGGGTTGGTATCTTGCAGTTGAGTCCCCAACACCCACCCCCACCCCTGCCTCCCCAAGGTCGCTGAAAGAAGTCTGGCAATGTCTGGCTGAAAGCCTACCTCCAGGTAGTGAAGGTGGCACCCAGGGCTCCACCACAGCCAGCTCAGGCAGGCTCCGCCCGCCTCCTCCCGGTCCTGCCATCTTCCCCTCCACCCTCTTGCCACCCTAAGGCCACAGCTCTGGGCCCAACAGGACAGGGGCGAGGGGGATGGGACGTGAAGCCACAAGGTGAGCGTGACACGTTTTCCTGGAGCAAAAATTGAGGCAGACTGTTATTTTTATATAAAGACAAACCCAGATCTATGATGGAATAAAGTATTGAACTTGCATGAATTTTGGAGCTGGATTCTGCCAAGACCCCCAAGAGGAGTTGAGGGCCATCGGGGTGTTGGGGGTGGGGGGATGGGGGGATGGTGCTTTCGGAGTTTCCCTCTGCATTGGGCTTACATGGCCTAAGGGCCTGGTTCCTTCCTGTCCTTCACCCACTCACCAGCACCCTTGGGGGTCACACGGGCTCCCCTCACTTTACTCCTGGGCACAGTGGGGCAGGGGCTGGTCCAGCGGACAAGGGCCGAGGGCTGAGGGCCACTGTGCAGGTGGCCCCACGCAGGATGGGGAAGCCAGTACATCCTGGACCGGCACTGCCTCCTCCCGGAGCCTCTGGTGAGGGGCCTCAGAGAGCATGTTCGGGGGGCCACCTGCCCATCTCAGTACCACACGTGTCACCGCACCGGTGGGGGCGCAGCCTGACTGCGCTCAGCCCCCACACAGGTGATGCCGACTCGCCTGGGCCACACAGGTGATGTGGGCTTCGCTGCAGCTGCTGCGGGGATGGCTGGGCCCCTGAGACGCTGCCGTTTCATCCCTGGAGTCTGAGAGCAGCGTGTGAACTCACCCCGCTTGCCGTATCCTTAGGCAGCCACTGCCCTTCACTGAGCCTCAGGCTCCTCATCTGAGAAATGGGTGCGGTTGGCCGTGGGCCTGGGGTGTTCTTGGAGTTGTGGAGGGCTTAGAGTTGCCCCTTGGGGCTTCCTGAAGGTGGGAGGAAGGGAGAGCTGGGCCGCTGGCCCCCTGCAAGCCCAGTCCCCACGCACCTCAGCAGCTCCAAGCTGAGGTGAAGGTTCCTTTTGTGTGTTTTCATTTTTTTTAATGCATGATAATTTTTTTAAAATATATTTTATGATTTTTACAGAGAGGAAGGGAGAGGGATAGAAAGTTAGAAACATCGATGAGAGAGAGAAACATCGATCAGCTGCCTCCTGCACACCTCCTACTGGGGATGTGCCCGTAAACAAGGTACATGCCCTTGACCGGAATCGAACCTGGAACCCTTCAGTCCGCAGACCGACGCTCTATCCACTGAGCCAAACCGGTCAGGGCTGTTTTCATTTTTTTAAAATATATTGATTTCAGAGAGGGAGAGAGAGAGAGAAACATTAATAATGACAGTCATTGATCAGCTGCCTCCTGCATGCCCCCCACTGGGGATCGAGCCCGCCCGCAACCTGGGCATGTCCCCTTGACCGGAGTCCAACCTGGGACCCCTGTCAGCAGGCCGACGCTCTATCCACGGAGCCAAACTGGCCAGGGCTGAAGGCTCCATTTGAAGAATGTCAGTCATTTTTTAAAAATATTAAAATGCTGAGCTAGAATATCGGAGGGCCTTTGTGGGGTGGGGGCCGGAGTCTCCCCACCGGCTGCAGGCCTGTCCCCCACTTTAGAGGGCCCCCACCACCCTGGACTGGGCTCCCTCAGGAAGCAGAAGGGGCACAATACTTCAGTCCCTGCTCGGTCCTCCCTGGGGTCACTGAGCCCCACCCTGGTCCGTCCCACAGGGTCCCCTCTGACCTGGAGTCTGGACTCCAGGCTGTGTGGCCTTGGGGAAGTTATTCAGCCTCTCTGAGGCTAGTATGACTTCCTGGGCTGGTGGAAGATAAAAGATGTTGTGCAAGGCTCTTGGCAGAGGGCCCAGCAATGAGCTGAGAAGTTTGTTTACAAGTTTTGTGCCTGCGATTCAGCGCCGTGGGGCCACCGCGTACTCTGAGGAGGGACACTTCCCGGTCATCTCTGAGCCTGTTTACTCCTTGAAAGGCATTCTGCCTTGAGGGCAAATTCCTTCCGTCTAGGCCAGGCCCACACTCAGGGCCCTGCATAGGCCGTTTCCTCTGCCAGGAGTCCCCTTCCTGCGGGGAACCCCTGGGAACCCTGCTGGCTCCTGGGGCCAAGGGTGCCGGTGGATGGCATGCCCTCTGCCCCCTGCCTGGGCAGACGGGCCAGTACGTTTCCTGCGGTGGCTCTGATGCCTTTATCAGGGAGATATTCACACCCGGGCCTGGCTGGCGTGGCTCAGTTGGTTGGGCGTCGCCCTGTGCACCGGAAGGTTGCCGGCTTGATGCCGGTCAGGGCACACGCCTGGGTTGTGGGTTCGATCCCCAGTGAGGAGGGTGCAGGAGGCTAGCCCATTGATGTTTCGCTATCACATCGATGTCCTCTCTCTCTCCCTTCCTCTCTCCCTAAAAATCAATAAAGAAAATCTTTAAAAAAATAAACAAGCAGTGGTACTTAAAAACAACAGGGCAGCGCGTCCTCACCCAGCGGGGACGCTGAGCCTGCAGCGCCACCCAGGGGCGCCCGGAGTAACTGCACCACCGTCGGGCAGGCCATGCTCCCTGCTGCCCCTGGTGGTAGCCATGGGGAGTGCGCCCTCAACAGCACGTTGGTAGTTGCCTAGGAACTCGCTTACAGGTCCCTGGGGAAGCCTGCCCCGCAGATCCCTCCTTATGGCCTGGGATCGGTCATCGGTCATCGGTCATCGGTCATCCCTGCCCTCCTCCCACTGTTCCCCGTGTACAGCCCCTGGGGACAGGCACCGCCCTTCTTGTGAGCGGAGCGCTCCCTTCCCTGAGGTTTCTTAGGCAGCCGCGGAGCAAGAACTGGGGGAGCATGTGCGGGGTTTGTGAAAGGGGGACCGAGGGTCCTGGGGGGGGGCCTCTAGGGAACCCCGTGTCCCTGCACAGAGCCTTGGGCCCCGGAAGAAACGCAAAACTACGGAGGGAAGCTGTGCCCTGAGTCCCCTGTGGGCTGCCCCGGGCGGGTGGTGGCAAAGGAGTCACAGAACCGGTCTGGGTCCCTGCCCCGTCGTGTCCCGAGGGGCTGGTGGGGGTGACAAGCTCTGTGACGGACAGGTCCTGGCTCTCCCTGGTCTTCCCCGCACCCCCCCCTCCCCACACACACACATGTCGGGGGGCACTGGGCTGCCCAGATCCTCTGGGCCTGTCACTAACCCTCCAGGACACTTGCTCCTAAATGCCTTCAAAATTGCAGCCTTCATGCCCTGCCGGTGTGGCTCAGTGGTTGAGCGCCAACCCCTGAACCAGGTCAGGGTTCGATCCTTGGTCGGGGCACATGCCTGGGTTGTGGGCTGGATCCTGGATCCCTGGTAGGGGGCGTGGAGGAGGCAGCCGATGGATGATTCTCTCTCATCATTGATGTTTCTAGCTCCCTCTCCTTCTCCCTTCCTCTATCTGAAATCAATTTAAAAAATCAATTAACTAATTAAAAATAATTTTAAGAAGAAACATTCATAATGGCGGAGGACAAGCATGCTAGGGGGCCACCTGCTCTGCTTATGTGCGGCCAGATTGGTTAGAAACAAGGCCCCTCCCCCAAAACAACAACGACAAAAAGAAACGAAGTCCAGCCACAAGAGCACCGAGTCCCTGACCGGCCGCCTCCCCTCCGGCCTCCATGTCCTCATAGATGGTTGCAGGGCCTCCGGGACCCACAGCTTCTCACTTCCTGTCCGGAGGGGCGGGCCTTGACCGGGGAGGTGCACCTGGGACAGCTGAGGGGCCTGGATTGGCCCAAGGCTCTGTCACCCGAGCATGGCCGGTCACTCGCAGCCCTTCTGTCCTGCCCCTTCTCAGAGGCCTCCTCTGAGTGTCCCGCTGACGTCCGAGGAACGGGCCAGGCTACTGGCCGCCTTGGGGGCGCCAGGTCCACACGCAGCCCAGGCTGCTCTGCCAGCCCCTCCTCTGCGCCTGGCACCCTGCCCATGCCCCCCCCCAAGTGATGCCCTTTCATGGGGGGCACCTCAGTTCACTGTGGGTGAGCTCTTGCCTCCTCCAGGCTCCACGCCGTCTGGCCAGCCCCTGGGCCTCCTGGGAGAGCTGACATTTGACGGGGTGAGGGGGTGAGTCTTGGGCTGGGAAACAGCCCTTCCCTTGTGGAAAGCGAAGGAGGAGGTCAGCCAAGCGCTGGGTCCCGGCCTCCGGAGGATGGCAGCTCCGGGTCTTGGGCTCCCTGGGGGCCTTGCGTGTTAAGGTGGCACAACTTCGACGGGGGTTGGGGGTCAGAAACCCACGATCCCGTGTTCACCAACAGCCTCAGGGAAGTACGGGGACAGCAGGGATGGGCGTCCCCAGCTTCTGGACCCAAGGGCAAGGCTGGGGGAAGAAGTCACAGATCCACGTGCCCATCGACCCGAGCCGAGAGCCACCTGGTGCCCTCCCAGCCGCGGCGCCCCCCTAGCCTGTCAGTCCCCCTGGATCCGGGGTTGAGACGACATCCCTGGAGCCGTAGCCCAGAGGGTCAAGGAGGGCAAAGGACTTGCCCAAAGCCCCTCGGTGAGGCGGGGGCGGTCCCTGCCCCCAGCTCAGGCTGCTTCTGCTCCTGGGTGCGACCTGAGCCCTGCACCCACTGGGGGACCACACATGCCCTCCCCGAGTCACCTGGCGGACCCTGCCGGCTAGACAGGTCACAGGCCACACAAGCGGGGGACGAGGGTCTACCGTGGAGATGGGGGACAGGCCAGGTGGGGCGCCCCTCGGTGGACGACCCTGGCCCTCTGGCCCTTCCCTGGCTTGTCCAGCTGGACTTGCCCCCGAGCCAGCCCAGAGGCAGGTGGTCGTGGAGCAGCGAGGGGGCCAGCGGGGCACAGCCGTACGAGCGCCCAGCACATTGGCTCGGGCTCTTCCCAGGCTCGGGCTTGCGTCCACCCCCAGGACCCCATCTCCATGACGCTGCCCGAGCTGGTGAGCGAGGCGAGGCTGGGGCCGCACGGGCTGTGGGGCCCCAATGAGCCACCGCAGGGCACGGGCCGCCGGTGGCCGCGGAGACGCCTCTGCCCCCGGGGATGTGTGTTGGTCAGGAAGCGGGCAACGGAGGCGGCAGAAGCCAGCTGCCGAGGCTGTGGGGCGCACAGCGGGTCGATGAGCGGATGGGAATGACATCGGGGCGGCGGCCTGCACCAGCTCCTCCTCGCTGCCCTCCAAACACCTTCCGGAGGCCTCGCTGGCTCCGGGGCTGGAGCTGGGTTTGCTGGGTGCCCAGGA